ACGCTTTAACATGCAAGATTGTAAGTCAATTTTTACTTCACTTCCTGTTAATTTCAAGTTATCCTCCAGTATGAGTCCTAGCAGTAAAGAAGAGAGGATGGAGATATCTCGAGTACCGTATGCATCAGCAGTGGGAAGCTTAATGTTCGTAATGATTTGTACAAGATCAGACATTGCACAAGCAGTGGGAGTGGTTGGTCGATATATGGCGAATCCTGATAAAAAGCATTAGAATGCTGTAAAGAGGGTCCTAAGATACATTAAGGGAACCTCAAATGTTGCATTATGTTATGAGGGATCTGATTTTATTGTCAGTGAATATGTTGATTCTGATTATGCAGGTGATCGTGATAATAGCAAATCCACCACAGGTTATGTGTTTGCACTTGCTGGCGGAGCTGTAAGCTGGGTTTTAAAACCGCAGTCAGTTGTGGCTACTTTAACAACAGAAGCAGAGTATGTAGCAGCTACACAAGCTAGTAAAGAGGCGATGTGGTTGAAGATGGTGCTGGAGGAACTCGACCATGAACAAAAGAAGATTTCTCTATTTTGTGACAGTTAGAGTGCTTTGTATTTGGTAAGAAATCCAGCCTTTCATTCAAAGACTAAACACATTCAAGTTCAGTACCACTTCGTTCGTGAGAAAGTGGAAGAAGGAACAGTGGATATGCAGAAAATTCACATCAAAGATAACCTAGCAGATTTTTTGACAAAAGCAGTCAGCACTGATAAATTTATTTGGTGTCTATCCTCCTGTGGTCTGTCGGAGACATAAGCAACATGAAGATGGGCAAGATAGAAAGAATGATGTGAAGATATGATTGATGCTCAATCAAATCTTCAAGTGGGAGATTGTCAGACGCCTACCATCACCGAAAGCACAGCCGCACATTTTTGACAAGAGCACCCACCTTTTGACAATTGAAAAAGAAAACAAAAGAATAGACCCCACAATATAGTAATTTATTATTATTTTATTATGCATAGTGTTTTTCAAAATACTATAAATATGTTCCAAATCCTTAAGGAAATCTCATCCTAGAAACAACTTCTTATATAGAAGAGTGAGAGAGAAAAAACAGAGAGAATTTCTTCTTGTAAAGAGAGAGAGTTTGTAACTCCAGAGTTTTCTCCTCATAGTGGATTCTTCTATATTTGTCCGTGGACGTAGGCAATCAAGTACTGAAGCACGTAAATCTATGTGTCTAACTTTTTATCTCTATTTTGCTCTACTATTGCTGCGATCCTGCTCTATTAGGCCCCAGGTTTGTCTCAACATTAAAAAAATGAGAAATTTCGATTACATTTTGAATATTCATATCCAAAATAAAATCCCTTTTGAGAATCAATAATACGAACTTTTTGCCTCTTCAAGCTATAATCTCATAGCGATGTGATTTTTTCTCTCTCCTCGAAAAATTCTTTCTCATCTTCAATTAATTGTTGGTTCACATTTCACATTTTCTTTGCTCTTCCACCTTAATACATCATACAAGTCACCAATCATCAAAATGCCACCTATTACACTGAAAGACATACTCACATTAATTGAAAAATTATGCAAAAATAGAGAACAAATTATTATAAGATGATTAATTATATACTTACCTTCCAAGAAAAGTTGATTCTCCTAGGAAAAATAAAGCGCAAATTTGTATATTATATATTATAAATCATTGAATCAATATCCTAAATATATTAGAAAACGAAAATTATAACTCTCAATCTTCATTACAACTTTGATTTGATAACGGAAGAATTATCTTCGTCAGAGCTATTAATATTAGTAAATATAAACATTTAAGAAACGGATTGGGAAACAAACAAGTCTCCTGCAGAAAATATATTAATTTGACTTTTATACTCTTGGTCCTGTAATTTGTAATTTGGAAAAGAAAAAATTAAACAAACAATGAATATAATATGCATTTTTCTTATCTTGGTCCTGTAATTAATTAACAACTATAAGTGGATGAGGAATCAGTTAGTGACAATACATGATGCTCCTATTACAAATAAGGCTTGGCCCATCTAACTAGTTTGTCAAAGATTAATAGGCGTCGAATCAATTTTAGCGCATTATCCCCTTTATGCATAATGTTCACTACTATGATCTTGGTTATGCGAGCGGAGGTTTAATTTTAAGTTTAACCCTGTAATTTTAATTTAGAAAAGGCTAGATGGCATAAAAACACCACAAAATTTTCATTATGTAGCACATAAAGACAATAAGTTGTATTTTGTAGAAAAAAATCACCACAATGTTTTCTTCATTGAAAAACCCCAACGGCATTAAGAAAATATGCTATGACGAAAATATCCACTAATTTTCAGCTGAACTTTATAAAAAAACATGCAAATTACACATAAACACAAAC